GCTGCTTCTGGAGCACAACCAGCATAATATTGTACATCAGGGAGTATTATAAAGGACAGAGGAAGTCCTGATGGTCAAATCATTGCAAATCTATTTTCATTTCTATTCTCGCTGAAGAAAATCATTTTCTCACATAGTATAGCTTGCAAAAGAGAGAAGTATTGGTCTGACTAAGCCACTAGCCTGTCCATTTCAGTAGGGTCACAGGATAGGCCTATAGTTTCTGTCTAGCCAGCCCTGCTGTGCGCCTCGCTAAGTCTGCAGAAACTGGCAGATGAGGGATGAGAAGGCGGCTTGGCTGCACCTGTGTCTGTCAGGTAAATTGATGTCAGTGCTAGGTATGCTGGACCTCTTTTGTGATGGGCAGACTCTGTTTCTGCACAGTGTCACATTGGTCAGGCGGCTTGCTCTGGTCCTTCTCTAGCAACAGCAGGGTTTTGTTTGTTTGTTTGTTTGTTTGTTTGGTTTTGGTGTGTGTTTGAAGTCTCTGGTGTATAATCCTCATGCATTTTTCAAATGGCATTTCAGCACCCCCTTAAATTTAAAACCTGCTGCCATTTGGTATATTTTTGCTGTATTTTTGGTATATGTATGTATCAGATGATATATATGTATATTATCTGATAAAGCTCTCAGGATTGCTACCCTTTACTGCTTTCTTTTATATATATATATTAATTTTTATAGAGGGGAAGGAAAAAGCATGGGAGAGAAACATCAATGTGTGGTTGCCTCTCATGTGTCCCCCACTGGGAACTGGCCTGCAACCCAGGCATGTGCCCTGACTGGGAATCGAACCGACAACCCTTTGCTTCACAGGCCTGTGCTCAATCCACTGAGCTACACCAGCCAGGTCTACTGCTTTCTTTTGTGTAGCGTGAAAATGGCTATGTCAACATCTTTATTTATTTTCTTACAAACAGGGTTGAGAAATATAGACCAGTAAAGTTGAATGAAATTGTCGGAAATGAAGATACTGTAAGCAGGCTGGAGGTAAGTGATTTTTTAAATTTATTATATTTATTTATTTTTAGAGAGGGAAAGGGAGAGAAAAACAGAGGGAGAGGAACGTTGATTTTTGAGAGAAAACTCAATTGGCTGCCTCTTGCTCACCCCCAATCAGGGACCTGGCCTGCAACCGGGGCATATGCCCTGACCAGGAATGGAGCCTGGGACCTTCGGGTTCACAGGCCTGCACGCAGTCCGGTGACCCAAACCAGGCAGGGCTCTTTGCTTATTTTTTAAACAATCCTTTAAAAATGTGAAAGTCATTCTTAGCTAGGGGGCTTATAAAAACGGGCCTCAGGGTGGATTACCCTAATCCCCCATGCCCCTTCTACCACAGTTTACCAACCCTTGAATAGAGGGGCTGCATGGCGAGGCAGGTGGCTTCGAAATGGACAGACAGAAATGGTGAGCAAGCTTGGAATTCCTAGCTATAGAGGTCTTTAAGCAGAATCTAAAAGCCCAGCTATTTGAGACATGACAGAGACAGTCTCTGTAGTAATTGGGGCTTAGAATTCAATAGCTTACAAGGTATTTACTTATTTTACAAATGTATTCATTTTGCAAATAGTATGTTCTCTGGGACAGATATGGGACAGTGTTAGGAACTATTGATATAATGGGGAACAGAATAGACATGATTCTTGCCCAAGCCAGATTGTTAGTCTAATGGGGCAGCATTAAAGTCAGCAGGCAAGGTGGTGAGCACTCTGCCAGAGGAGGCACAGGTTGCTGTGGGGGCGCATGGGGAAAGTTCAGGGAGGAGTTAACTTCACAGTGTCTTCATTCCCAAGTGGAAGAAGTGATACCAAAGCTAGAGTGGGAGTTAGCTAGACTTGGAGGAAAGGGGTGGAGAGAGAAGAGGTAGCCAGAATAGCATGTGCAAAGGCCCTGAGGTGAGAAAGCTTGGATTGTCTTGGGTGGGAGAGTGCCATCTGATTGGAGTACTGATTTCCATACATAGATGGGCATTTGAATTGCCTGGGGATCTTGTTAAAATGCAGATTCTGGTGCAGTAGTTCTGGAGTGGGGCCGGGTTCTGCATTTCTAACAAGCTCCCAGGGGACGCTGATGCTGCTGGTCCACAAGCCCCGCTGATAACAAGGCTGTAGGGCGCATTTATTGGGGTGTGTGAGAAATGACCGGGTGGGCTTCATGAAGCCGGGCTAGCACACTGCTCAACTTACATTAGAAAACCCCCAGCTCCCTTCTCTTTTTTCAACCAGCCTCACAACCCCTCACCCTGCCCCCTGACAGCTGTCAATCTGCTCTCTATCTGTGGGTCTGCTTCTATTTTATTTGTTGGTTTATTTTGTTCATTAGACTCTGTGTATGAGTGAAGTCATAAAGGTGAAGGGAATAAGGAAAAAAACCCTCATAGACACAGACAACAGCATGCTGATTACCAGAGGGGAGGGGAGGGTGGGTGGCGGGGGGGATAGGTGGTGATGGAAGGAGACCTGCCTTGGGGTGGCGAACACACAGTACAATATACAGATGATTGACTATAGAATTATACACTAAACCCATATAATTTTATTAAGCAGTGACACCTCAGTAAATTCAATAAAAATAAATAAATGAGGAAGGGAGGAAGTTTGGGTTTCATGATGAGAGCAGTGAGGAGGTGCCCAAGGGTCTCAGTCAGGTAAAAGTGCATCAGTTAGGCGTGTGTTTGAGAAACTGGTGTGGTTACAGCATGGGAAGTGGGCGGGAGCGAGGCAAGATTCCTGGCCAGGGGAGGAGGGATGACCAAGCCTTTGTAACAAAGGTGCCGTGCGGGGCGAGGAGGAGGGCCCGGTCAAGGGCGACAGTGACTCCAGGCTCCTGGCTTGGGTGACAGGGTTGGCACTGACAGTCCACGGAAGGGAAAACGTGGGTGAGGCCTCAGGTGTGGATTCAGTTGTGAATATGCTGAGGCTAGAGCTCTGTGGGGCATCCACGTGGAGAAATTTGTAGCCGTGTTAACTTCACAGGCCTGTGCATGGCTGGGGAGGCTCGGCCCCTTACGGTTTGTAGGCTAACCACTTGTAACGGGCATTTCTTCCTTCAGGTCTTTGCACGAGAAGGGAATGTGCCCAATATTATCATTGCTGTAAGTACTCAGCCCTGGCAGCCCCGGTGGATGTCTTGAAGTCTCTTTCGCTTCCCTCGGAAATGATTCTTGTGCACAGAGCTTCTTCCTCAGAGAAGCCCGTTACCCCCGGAGCCCTTATATTCCCCTCTGCAAAGTGAAACAGTTGGTCAGGAGGCCTCTGGGTTGGCTGCTATATTGATTTAGTGTGTTCTGTGGGCTGGGGTTGAGGGTTTGAGGGGGAGGTGAATGCAGAAGAGTGGCAAAGAGTAAATCAGGAGCTGCGTTAAGATCGTTCTGTTGGCTTGAAGCACTTACTGGAGATCTCTTTCCTAGGGCCCCCCAGGAACTGGCAAAACTACCAGCATCCTGTGTTTGGCACGAGCCCTTCTGGGTCCAGCTCTCAAGGATGCCGTTTTGGAACTCAATGCCTCAAACGACAGGTGCACCCGGGAGTTAGGACTAAAGGGCAGCGAGTGTTGTACATTTTGGATTGTTACAGAAACAGCCTCTTTTCTGTGCTGTGTTGCACCTGGAGCTTGCCCAGCCAGCTTTGTCTTTTTCCTTCAATCCCCCCCAGTGAGAGTGAATGGAAATTGCTTGCCCCTCAGGGTGGCATCATAGACACTTGACTTGATGGCTTACTTTTTTTAATGGAAATCTAAAATACTATTTTTAATTGTGGTAAAATACACATAACATAAAGTTTAACACCTTACCCATTTTTAAGTGTACAGTTCAATAGTATTAAGTATATTCACATTGTATATTTGCATGGTTGTGCAGCTCATCTCTAGACCTTTTTTTTAAAGACTTTATTTATTTTTAGAGAGAGGGAAAGGGAGGGAGAAAGAGGGAGAGAAACATCAATGTGTGGTTGTCTTTCACACGACCCCCACTGGGGACCTGACCCACAACCCAGGCAGGTGCCCCAACTGGGGATTGAACTGGCAGCCCTTTGGTTCGCAGGCTGGCACTCAATCTACTGAGCCACAACCAGCCAGGGCTGACTTTTTTTTTCCTCACCTGAGGACATGCTTATTGATTGTGTGTGTGTGCTTTGTTTTTAGTGAGAGGGGAAGGAAGGGAGAGAGAAAAGGAGAAGGGAGAGATATACATCAATGTGAGAGAGAAACATGGATCGGCTGCCTCTCACACACACCCTGACTGGGGACCGAACCTGCAACCTAGGCATGTTCCCTAACTGGGAATCAAACCCTGGACTTCTTGGTTCATGGGACAACGCTCCAACCAAGTGAGCCACACCAGCGAGGATATCAGTGCTGATTTTTATCCTTACCTCTTGTTCTTCTCACACTTGCATCATCAAACTTACTATTTTTGAAATCTTTGGTGGCTCATAATTTTGTTGAAGAAATAATGGCCCATAGTTACAAGTATTTTCAGTTTTAGATTTATAAACACGTATTTAAATGAGTGACATAATGACTTTTTTTCCGTTTCTATATCTGCTGTTTCTTTCTAGTCACCTTTGTGTACAGACCTGCCTTCAGCTTTTGATCACTTACAAACTGCAGCCTGTGCGTGTTAGTGTGTGAACATCACAAGACGATGAGGGAGTATCGTCACGTGTTCTTGTATCAAAACCAAAGGTCCAAGTTCTTGTCGCGGGGTATTGGGGAGCGAAGTCGTTCCTGTTGATAGACCAACTACATGAAAATAAAGTTCATTTTTGCCCTTAGAAACGCATAGTTCACTCCTTGATTCTTTTTTTAAAATTTATTTTTATTATAATAACAGTCAGTATCCAATATCGTACTAGTTTTAAGTGTACAGTATAGTCCGTCAGCCTCTGTGTGCTAGTGAAGTGATCGCCGTGCGAGTCTGGTGCCCGTCTGACACCACACGGGTTGTTCCGTTTTACTGACTGTCCCCTGCTCTGTCCCGTGACTCACTGATTTTAAAAACAGAACGTTTCACAGATTTGCGTATCACCCTCGTGCAGGAGCCATGGTGGTGTTCTCTGTTTCATCCAGTTTTCGTGTACATGCTGCCAAAGGAAGCACGCTCCTTGACTCTAAAATTTGAGAAAATTCACCTAGGATTTTGGCATCTGAGGAAACAACTGAAATGTTGCTTACATTTCCAGTGTCACCATCATGAGTCTGGAGAGCTTTTTGCTTCTTTGCAGTCATTCTCTGATTTGTCTGATAATTATGAAATATCTTCCTCTGTCAGTTTTTTTTCTCTATGACACGGTAGATGGAAAATAAAAAGTTTTGATTTTTTTTTTAAAGTTTGGTCAATGAAATCTTTTAAAAAGAGCAAAGATGCCCTGGCTGGTGTAGCTCAGTGGATTGAGCACGAGCCTGTGAAGCAAAGGGTCACTGGTTCGATTCCCAGTCAGGGCACATGCCTAGATTGCAGGCCAGGTCCCCAGTAGGGGACATGTGAGAAGCAACCACACATTGATGTTTCTCTCCCACTCTTTCTCCTTCCCTTCCAAAAGACAATGTGATACATCAAGCAACAGAATAAAAAAATAAAGGATTAGCCCTGGCTGGCATGGCTCAGGTAGCTGACTGAGCGTCGTCCCACAAAGGGAGAGGTCACTGGTTTGATACCCAGTCATGGGTCGTGGGCCAGGTCCCCAGTTGGGAGTGTGTGAAAGGCAACCAATTGATGTTTCCCTCACCCACTGATGTTTCTTTTGCTGTCCCTTCCCCTGTCTTTAAAAATAAATAAATAAAATATATTTTTTAAATCTGTTAAAAAAGTGAAGGATGAGGTGATAATAATAGCATTTCCTCCCTCTAATATTGTATTATTTTTCTGGTCAATTCCATCATTCTTTTGTTTTTGTTTTTTAATTTTTATTTTAATTGTTGTTTAAATACAGTTTTCTGCCTTTTACCCCCATCCCAGCCCACTCCCCATTTCATTCTTTCGTTTAAAAAAATTATTTTAGTTATTTTTAGTATGGTTGGGAATAATTAATGAGTAATGGTGGAATAATTAATGGGATGATAAAAACTAAACAGTTTCAAGATATAGGAACAATATGGTTGTTAAAACCTTAAAATATATCTGATCATAAAATGATTCAGTGGACCCACAGGTAATTATATGATGAGTTTATTATATTTTAAGTAGTAAGTAAATTTTTTTTTGGTTCTTCTAAAGACCTTTAAGAAGGAATAAGAGTGCCCTGGCTGGTGTAGCTCAGTGGATTGAGCTCTGGCCTGCGAACCAGATAACCGCGGTTCAATTCCCAGTCAGGGCACATGCCTGGGTTGCAGGCTGGTTCCCTACAGGCCAGTTCCCAGCAGGGAACCCACAAAGGCAACCATACATTGATGTTTCTCTCCCTCTCTCCTTCCCTTGCCCTCTAAAGATAAATAAAATCTTAAAAAAAAAAAAAGAAGGAATAAGAGTGATGAAATTTCAGTTTTTATAAAAAGTTAGAATTTCTCGAAAAGGAAACTTGAAAACCAGAGCTGGGTTGCCTGCGGCGTGTGTGGGTTGGAAGTTCCCTCGGAGGTAACGGGTTTGTCTCAGGCAAGTGAAGTGCATGCTGGCTCCTTGTTTCAGGGGCATTGACGTCGTGAGGAACAAAATCAAAATGTTCGCCCAGCAGAAAGTCACCCTCCCCAAAGGGAGGCACAAGATCATCATCCTGGATGAAGCGGACAGGTAGAGTGCTTTCCAGGCATTTTGACCTTGATCTCTGAATCTGTTACTGGGCTTCGTTAAATCCGGAGAAAAAGCTCCTACCTTGGCACCTTTGTGGTGTGTTTGCTTGTCTTCGAAACCAATTTAATAGGCAGCCTGTTTGTAAACCTAAACCTGTCTTAATTGAGTAACTTACAAACAGTTGGCTAAGACAGCCAGCGGTGTGTTTGTTCCAGCATCACTTCTATGAATTGTTTAAATGTTATTTTTTAATTGTGAAATACACATAATATAAAGTTTACCATTTTAACCATTTTAGTTTATAATTCAGTTACATTTAGGACATTCACAATGTTGTACAGCCCATGACATTAAAAAAAAGTAACTCATTCTTTGAAGAAAATTTAGAAAATGTTAATATCTTGCTTTGTTTTCTTTTTCTACACTGTGCATTTTTACATATTTGAGATATATAATTTTTGTCTCCTGGTTTTTTCTTTTAATGTAAAAAGCAGTGTTCTGCATTATAATCTTGTTTGGAACATAGTTTGTAATTGCCATATTATAGTGCAATTACCCTACTTTACTGTAACATTATAGCAATAATAGCAGCTAACATTTATTGAGCAGTTATATATAAGCATTTATGTTATCCCAGGCACTCTGCTAAACACTTTACATATTATTACCTCATTTAATTGTCATCACAACCCTCTGAAGCAGGCAGAATCGTTATCTCCTTATAGGTGATGACGCTGGGGCTCAGGTAATTTGCCTATGGCCCCAAAACTAGCAGAGGCAGGAGCTGCGAGGTGAGCCCGGGCAGCCTGGCTGCAGAGCCCCCGCCCTGTGCCTGTGTGCAGCCTGTTCGTTTAAGACCAGCCTGGGTCCTGAGGAGAGACTGAGCATGCTCAGTTAGGAGGTCCGGTTCCCAGGCTCTGCAGGGAGGGTTTGTGTCCAGTGGGCCCTGGGTGTGGTTGCAAACTGCACTCTCATTGTTTCTCTTCTCAGCATGACTGATGGAGCCCAGCAAGCCTTGAGGAGAACCATGGAGATCTACTCCAAAACGACTCGCTTTGCTCTGGCTTGTAATGCTTCGGATAAAATCATAGGTGAGGGTCAGCTCTGGGCAGCTTGGGGTCCAACTGGTGCTCATTTGGCTCTTTAGCAGCAGGAGAGTAGGGACTTTTTGATTGCATGTCGCGAGCTGAGCACTATACTGTACCTCATCTTTTCCCTTTATTCTTATACAGTCATTTGCAGAGGTATTATTAGCACCACATCAGAGATGAGAAAACCTGGGGCTCAGAGAGATCGAGTAATTTGCTCAGAGTTAGCAAGTGGAAGCTGGGATTGGAACCCTACGTCTTTCCGACTCTTGCACCATCCCAGGCACACGTGACATTTTGACATCCTGTGCAGTGTCATAGTCACTGCCCCTCTCCAGACATGTTCTTGCACTTTCTGTGTGTCTGAGTGCTTGGCACGCACTGCGTCTGCACACTGGGCTTGCTCATTACTGGCAATTGCCTCACATGCGAGACCTTACCTCTGAGTCTTCTCTCCGACCTGGCATTTGTCCTGCCAGTTCCTTTGCTCACTCCCGCTCGTCAATCTGTCTGCTCACTGCTTTGAGCCCTCCTGGCTCTGTGTCTCAACTTCCTGGTGGTTTCACATCCTTCCCTGTCTGATAAAGACTGCAGACATAGTCCAGCTTTCTCTCTCTCTCTCTCTGACTTTTCTCACAGCTCTCTTGTCCTTGCATCCCATCCCCCGTGCGAGACCCCAGCCTGTGTGAGCTCGGCTCTCTGACTGCCCCTTTTCCACCCGGCCATGGTGCGCTGCTGCAGACAAGCTGGTCACCAACTGTGACACCCCCCACAAAGGTGGCGGGCTCCTCAAGTTACCAGGAATCCTTTATGCCTTTTTAGTTTTTCTAGATGGTCATTATTTGTTCATTAGTTTATTCAGCCATTCATTCAACAAGCATTAACTTTGTGCTCAGTAGCTGTTGGGTACCACTGATGCAGAACATACAAAGTTTAACGAAAAACGTTCTCTGCCTTCAAGACATCAACAGTGTGGTGGAGGACACTGTACTAAAAGTTCTTGACTGACAGATGTGTATGTGATTTGTCTCCTTAGCCAGTGGTGAGAGAAATCTGTGAGGGCGGGGGAGGTATTGTGCTTAGAGACCCCCTCCCCACACATATTGCACAGGGCTGTGTGTTAACGAGTGGCAGTGATTTGAAACTGCACTTGTTGGAGAAAGCTCTGGCCCTCCCTCTTTATGAAAGTGATATCTGTGATGCAGGTCTTGCATTATTTTTAATTTTTAAAAGGATATGGCAAACATAAATGAAATCTCTATAGGAATTTCTTTCTAGCGTTAGAGAAATGGTTCGCAATCAGATTGCTGCACAGTTGATTTTTGAAACTTAATAGCTGAGTCTCACTTTGGTTCCTGGAGCCATACAGTTGAGAGAGAGGCTTACTTTGAGGAAAGCCACGGCTGCCTTATTCTCACATGTATTTAAATCCTAGGAATTCAGTTTGGGGACTTCTCAAAAGATAAACATCTACTAAAGGAAACTTATAGTATTGTTGGAATATTAATTGCTTTAAAATATGGGCTCCAGTTCCAAACTGATCTTTCTCGTCTTTGCTAATAAGCCGAATATGCGAGTAAGTTTCTGTTCTGAGGCTTCCTGCTTTCAGATAAGTTGTGACGGACTAACCCTTAGGAAAGCTGCTTTTTGAAGGCTTACCCACTTGGCAGATGTGCACACAGTATCCACTCTGCACAAGGCACAGCGGAGGCCACAGGCCCGTGTGAGGCTCTGTCCGGCCCCGCAGGACCTCGTGCATGGACAGGAGAGGGGCTCCCTGCACAGAGCTGCCACCCACCCCAGGTCCTCCTCTGTCTGCTTGCACCCCAGCCAGCCCCGCCCCCAATCAAATCCTCCCCAGTGTCGAAAACCCCTACCCTCTGCCGCTCTCACTCCAGGTCTGGCTTCAGTTTCTCCCCTTCCCTGGTGCACTGTTCTCCCGGCTTCTCTTGCACCTGAGCGGGCTGCCAGAGTCATCTCAGCACGTGACCCTGCCACTCCCCTGCTTAACCCTCTAGTGGCCTCCCGACGCCCGCACAGCCATGCTTCCACCTCCCACCCCACCCCAGGCTAACACACAGAGTCCTGTGCCCACAGCCTCATCTCCTTTCACCCCCACACAGGGCAGTCTCGTCCTTCCCCAACCCCCTAGGCCCTGTCTTCACTCTTGCGTTTGAATGTGCTATTCCTTCTGCCTTTCCAGGCCAAAAGCCTCGTCCCCCAAAACCCAGCTTCTCCACCGAGAAGCTCCATCAGGCTGAGTTGATCACCCTGTCTGGCCGGGGTTCCCAGAGCTGTTCCAAGAAACTTCTGCCAAGGCCCCATCTTACCGTGTTGTATCATTCTCATTCATGTCTCCTCCATCCTGATAAACCTAGGCGCTGAGGAGCCAGGACCTCATCATTATATTTATCCATGCGTCCCCAAAACCTGGGGTGCTAACTGGTTTCATTAATGCAAATAGGCTAACAGGAACATGTTCCTTGAAAAGTGTGAACGAAGGAAGGGAGGTAACTGCAGGCTGGGGAGATCTGGGCCGGCTGCATGAGGAGGGGGTTTGAGAGGAGCTTTTGATGATGGTTGGGGTTTAAGTGGGAAGGAACAGGAGGAAAGAACATCCTAGGTGGCAAGAGCCCTCCAGGAGATGCAAAATCTGTTTGCTGCAGGAGAGAAGGTACCAGGCATGGAGTTAGGAGAGTTGAGACAGGTGAAGTATGCAGAAGATTTTACATACAAGGGTGAGAGGTGAGCTGTACTGTACTTTGGGAGGCCATTGAAGGGCTTGCTTTGGCAAGAAGAGGTGACAGATCAAAACAGCTTGAGGCAGGCCATCGTGGCAGCAGAGAGACCAAACTGGGGCTTGGAGAGGGGTTTGGACTACGACAAACAGCTATGACCAAGCTGTTGTCATAGTCCAAACCAGAGGTCAAGGACAGATTCCAGAATTCTGCATTGTCTGTCTAGTGGTTCTCAGCCCAAGCTGCGGTCAGAATCACCTGTGGATCTTTAAAGAAGCCACACAGGTGTCTTGTGCCTACCCAGCTGGCCAGGCTGTGACCTCCCCAGAAGGGCCCTGGTGTTCAGCAGACACCGGGTAATCTTGGGTCGCCTGGGCCAGCACTGGTGCACGGAGACCTCCGGGCTGTGGCACGCGGAGGTCTCTGTGTTGGAGGATCTTTCCCTTCTGGAAGCCGTAGCCAGCTGAGGTCGTCCCAGGCAGTGCTGGCTGAGGCCTCTCGTGTTGCTTATTGGTTGATATTTTGAAATTGAGCCCCAATCAGTCAGTCACTGGTGAGTGCCTGCTGGGTAGAGAGCGTGGCTGGGCTGTGCGGGTTGTGCAGCTGCATCCCAGTAACTGAAGAGCCAGCAGGCTGACGCCATCCTTGCCCAGTTGCCTAATTGCTTCCTGTCTATTCAGAGCCCATTCAGTCCCGATGCGCAGTCCTCCGCTACACAAAGCTGACCGACGCCCAGATCCTTGCGAGGTTACTGACCGTGATCGAGAAGGAGAAGGTGCAGTACACTGACGATGGTCTGGAAGCCATTATCTTCACCGCCCAGGGGGACATGAGGCAGGTGGGTGTGGCCTCCGCCGTGAGGCTCAGACCTGTGTGTGCCCCTTATTTTAGGGGGAAGCGGGAAGTGCCAGCGGCACAGCCGAGCATAGCCAGAGGGAGAAGCGCTGGGGCCTTGGGCTGACGGGGAGCAGGCTTGCCAGGAGGGTGTTCAGCCAGGAGCGATGGGGAAGAGCCGAGGTTGAATATCAGCCTCCTGTGTTTTTGTTCCTCAACAGGCACTGAACAATTTGCAGTCTACTTTCTCGGGATTCGGCTTCATCAACAGTGAGAATGTGTTCAAGGTAGGAGACTGGCGTGGGCATCACAGCATGCGAAAACAGGGTTTATCTGCAGGGGCCTGTGGAGTGGAGGTGGGACGATCTTGGCTGGAAGGGGACGGACTCCGTATCACCGCTCTGCTGACTCGCTCTGGGTGGGTGGGGAGCTTGCCCGGCTCCAGTCTGTCCACTTGCCTCCCCCCACTGGGGAGTTGGGGGGAGTTGAGAGGGACTTTGGGATGCCACCGCAGTGAGACAGATGCAAGTGCTGGTGCTTTCCTCACCTGCTGAGCCTCTCAGAAGCCCTGCACCCAGAGGTTCTCAGCAGCATTTTGTGGCTAAGGAAGCAGCTCAGGTGGCCTGCCCGAGACCACCCAGCTGCTTGAGGCCAGCAACTCGGACTTGCCCTTCTTGTGGTGCCTGCGGGACGTGCCACTTCTCTTCAAAGCCGAGCTAAAAGACTCTCCCTCTCCCACACTGGCAAAGGATTTTTCTTTTGGGAATACTTTTGAAAACGCATTGCCACATCCAATAGCTTGGTGTCTGATTTCCTCCTTATTTGGGGCTAAGAATCGGGAAGGGCTGTCCATGTGTTCCGTCTATAGCTCCTTCTTACCAGGTGTTTGGGTGAAGGAAGCTGTGCTAAAAGCCTCTGCTTAGACCCTGGCAGTAATGTGCACCCAGGACACTGAGGGGAACTCGCTTAGTCACTGGTAATGACACTTAGGGTCTCCTGTCCTCCTGGAGCACGGCATTGGGGGCCCCAGAAACGAGGACTTCTGGGGGCAGTTCATTGAACTGGGGAGAGAAGGCGAAGGGGAGCTGTAGGCACTATCTCGAGACATCAAGAGGCTTTCATTTAGATTTATGTGTTGATGTTGCACTGGAGGCTGGGATCTGAGGCCAATGGCGGAAGCAGCCTTTGGTCTCGGGAAGAGCTGCCCAGCACTTCCTGGGTGGCTCCGAGGGTCATGCTGAGGCTGGGAGACTCTGTCCCGGGAAAGCCAATTGCGATTCCAATGGGAGACCAGCCCAAAAGATCTCCTAAGTCTTAAGTGGGTTCTAAGTGGTTCTGAGCAAGTGATCAGCCGGGTGGTCTGAGATGTGACTTGTAATAGCTTTGAAGCTGCTCCCGAGCAGAGGTGCTTCCGTGGCCCTTGTTGATGCATCTTCTGTTGGAGAAATCGGTCACATGGTGTCGGAAGCTCTCCTCACTGCAGTAGGTCGACATCGTCCTCTTTTTACTTGTCGCCTTGTTTGGTGGTGAGTGGTCTTCCCCAACCTGCTTCTGTTTGCTAGAGAATTTGATGAAAAACAAGTAGAAAAGTTGGCCACAAATCGTCCAGAAGTTGGGGTGTCAGGGGTCCTCCTCAGGTGGTGCCCTCAGCCGCTTCTTTTTGGTTCGGTCAGGTCTGCGATGAGCCGCACCCCCTGCTGGTGAAGGAGATGATCCAGCACTGTGTGAATGCCAACATCGATGAAGCTTACAAGGTCTGCTTCCTTCCCGCCCCACCCCCTGATCCCCGAGGGAACTTTCTCTTCTTGAGCAGAGCCGAGGGAGCTCCCCTTAGTTCTTAAAATGATGCTGTGTACACCCTGCCGATGAGAAAACCATGGTAGAAGCTAAATTCCCTTCTCTGTGTGTATCACATTGTTTAAAAGTGGTAGACCTGGAATTCAGGCATGTCTTTGTATTGTAACTATATTCTGTGCACCTAACCTGTGAGGAAGGACCAGCCCAACTCCTTGCTTTGCAGTGAAGCCATCTGTCTCTGAAAGGGGAGACTTCTCTGCCACCTTCCCGAGGAACCTGGGTGTGGGCACCCTGGGACCCAGCAGTCCCCAGTGGGCCAGGAAAGGGGAGCCCAGGAGGTTTCTGGCCTAATTGGCCTAATTACAGAGTCCGGTCCTGTGAGCAGGTCCAAGTGGGCACCTTTGGCGTTCAAGTGACCCTCAAATCACATGGGTGGCAGTGGTATAATCTTAGACCACTGGTCAGACTATTGTGGGTTTCCCTGCTCCCATCTGAATAGACTAGAAGCGACTGAGTTTAGGGCAGGGCTAGACCTCACGTGAAAGTGAAGTGCAAGGCAGGGAGACTGAGGCAGAGACCAGGCACCAGGACTAGATCGCTGAGTGGGCCTGGAGGAAGCCTTCGGGTTTAGGCGCCCAGAGCTTCCCAGCACCCTGAATTTGCCCCAGCACAACCAAGCAAAGGCAAAAATAACCGACTCCAGCCCTGGCTGGTGTGGCTCAGTGGACTGAGTGCCGGCCTACGAACCAAAGGGTCACTGGTTCAATTCTTGGTCAGAGCACATACCTGGGTTGCAGGCCAGGTCACCAGTTGGGGACATGTGAAAGGCAACCACACATTGATGTTTCTCTCCCTCTTTCTCCCTCCCTTCCCTCTCTCTAAAAAAATAAACAAAGAATCTTTAAAAGGAAAAAAAAAAACTGGACTCCAGATGCGGTGGGCTGGGCATCGAGAAGCGGAGGCTGAGACCACTGCTGTGAGCTCCGCCCTGGCCAGGGCGTGCGAGGGCTGCTCCTGCGGACGGAGTGTTAGGACTCATAGCTAGGGAAGGCGTGGCAGATACAGGCTGCTACTCTTTCCGCTCTGGGAATGATTAATAAGGCATTTAAAGAGCCTCAGGGTCTTAGCAGACCTTGTCATACATTTTGAAACATTTGCGGTATTATCTTTCTGTCTGCTGGGAAAACCAGGTAGTTATCCCCACGTGATGCACAGGGCGTGGCCCACAGCACCTTGGTGTTCAGCTGATTCAGAATCTCCTGGGTTTGGTAGGATGATCTGTCCGCTCCTGGCAGTGTGACAGGCCCAAACTGGTGTGACTTAAACTCATTTCCCCCGAGTGTCCTTGCCGTTTACAGATGCCTTCTTCTGTCTAGATTCTTGCTCACCTGTGGCACCTGGGCTACTCACCAGAAGACATTATTGGCAACATTTTTCGAGTGTGCAAAACCTTCCAAATGGCAGAATACTTGAAACTGGAGTTTATTAAGGTCAGTGAGAGTAGAGCCAGTCCTCTCTCCTCGAGAATGCGGGACGCTGTGGGTTTCTTTGGTTTGTTGACTCACGTCCGGGCACCAGAACGATGCTCAGCGAGCGTCCCCGACCATGATGGAGGCGGTGGCCGCTTCTCCCGGGGGCTGGGAGTTTGCTTCAGCCGACTGCCCGTCAGTGCCCTTCTCTTCCTGGGGATGACTGTCCCCATTAGAGGTTTGTTTGTTTATCTTTAAGGTCAGGGTAATTGAAGTATAATTTACATAGAGTAAGATTTGGGATCTCAGGGGCATTCTGTTGACAAAACAGTCCTGTACACACGGCTCTAACCCCCCAGACTGACGTGGCCCCCTGTAGTCATTTCCTCCCTCCAGCACCTGGAAACCACCAGTGTACTTTCCGCTTGGGGGCGGGATCTTCCAGGACGCCATCCAAATGGAATCAAACAAAAACGGTCTTCTGAGCCTGGCTTTTTTACTTAGCTAAATGCATTTTGGATTTATACATCTTTTTTGCTAAAAGTGTCCGTGGGTCATTCCTTTTTATTGCTGAGCAGTGTTCCACTATGTGGAGGTGAGACTGTTTGGTCAAATGGTAAGTGTAGGTTTAACTTGCTAAGAAACCACCAAACTGTCTTCCAAAGTGGCTGTAGCATTTTGCACCCAACCAGCCTGGCCAGCCGTGCGAGCATCTGTGCTGGTGCACATCCCAGCCCGCCCTTGGAGCGCTCGGCTGGTCCTTTAAAGTCATTCGAATAGGCACGTAGTAGTATCTCATGGCTTAGTTTGCATTTCCCAGCCACTAATGGTGTCAAGCACTTGTCCATGTGCTTATTTGCCATTCAGAGTCTTCTTTGGTGAAGCATCTGTTCAAATCTACCCAGTTTTTAATTGGGTTGTTTTCTTATTAACCTAGTAAGAGTTCTTTATATACTTTGGATGCAAATCTTTTGTCAGATATGTATTTTATAAATATTTTCATATTGATTTTTCTTTGAATTAACAGTATTTTGCAAAGAAATACCAACATTCTTTTAGAAAATAAATTGAAGTTTAGTTAAAGATAATCCATGACGACTTCGAGTTCATTTTCTAGTTGGAGTTCGAGTTCACTGCATCAATTTTGAGTAAACCATCAGTACAGATTTAAAAATAAATAAATTCCTCCCTCACCTAACCCGATTTCGATTTGATTTGTGTTTCAGGAAATTGGATACACTCACATGAAGGTAGTGGAAGGTGTGAACTCCCTCCTGCAGATGTCAGGGCTGCTGGCCCGGCTGTGTCAGAAGACAGTGGCCCCGGTGGCCAGTTAGAGGGAACTCACTGGTCGGGCTATGAGAGTCCCGAAGGCCGGGAGTCCCAGGCTTTTCTGCCTTGGAAGAAAACACTGCCCGGGCTGCAGCGGAACTCGCCTCTCTGTAGCGCGGCGCGGCCTTCCTGGTGCCCCACTCAGCCACGGGGCATTTCTGTTCAGCCCCAGGCTCAGGAACGGGGATGGTGGGAAGGCCCCAGAGAACCTCCAGGGCACAGCATCCAGTCTGGGCATGTGTTGGCATTTTACCTAATAAAACCACACGGTATTGTCATCAATGATGTGGCAATGCACGGCCGCAAAGAAAGCCAGCTTCCTGTGTCTGCGTGTGCCCCCTGCGTGCTGCAGGTAGAAAGGGTGATTTAGGTCGTGGGCTGCTCAGCCAGTCTGAGTTCTAGAAACTGGAGAACCGTCCACATGCGGCAGGACCGAGTATTGAGAAACACTCCTGCCACGGCGCCTGTTCTGTGCAGTACTTGGTGCTTTAGAATTTCTCAGTGAATTTCACATTAACTTGTAGAATTTCTTCTTCTTCTTGGCAAGGTACTATTTTTTTTTATTATGAAAAATATCAGTTGTACATAGAATGATACAGTGAACCTTCACATATTCATCATCCATCTTAAAGTTATACCAGCACACGCCCACCTTGTTTCCTCGGCAGCCCCCACCCCAGCCCACTCTGGGATTGTCCCAAAGCAAACCCCTAACGTCGTTTCCTCGTGGTGTTAAGGTGCTTGCGGTGGGAGTGACTCAGCCTCTGTGACTGGTGGTCTTGTGGAAAGCTTTGATTGAAGACGCTTGTGCCACGGGCTGGCTCCCACTCGTGGGCACCCGGGCGAAGGGCTGCAGTGTGTAGCCACGTGGCCCTGCTGCAGCAATGCCGGGCTCCCTCCCGGGGAGGCTTGGCTCCCAGGGGTCTGGTGTTCTAGCCTGAACCTCTTCAGCCGGCCAGGGCGGGGAGAGGGAGGGCCTGCCGCACTTCCACTTAGTGCCGTCCCTCCAGGGCTGGCTACGCCACTTGCCCAGACCCCGCTGTTGGATGGGGACACATAGGCTCTGAAATGGCTGGCTCTTTAGGTTTGGGTTTCTATTAGGAGAAATACAAGGTCCTCAAAAACAAGGTGAAGTCTTACAAAATACATGTCCTTAGTCTTATTTTTTGTCTGGATCCTTGGGATCCCCGCGAGGTGGAGAGGTGACTGTGCCCAGTGTGCGGGTGAAGGGCCCAGAGGGACGTCAGGGTTTCCACTCCTGCAGCATTGCCCCCACGACCCCCCAGGTCCCCTGCTCGGGCCTAAGCTGACTTCTGAGCTTGTGAGGTTGGAGCTTCAGGCTGTGAAGTGGCCACAATTGTGTTCTAAATATTTTTTCCTAATTTGCGGCATTAATTTCTCATGGAAAGAATAAATGTGGCATCCTGGAAGGAGCTTGCCTTGGGGCCCCTGCTCCCAGACTAACCGATCTCTCTCTCTTGCTCTCTCCCTCTTGGCCTCAGGGCCCTGTTCTATGAAACAAGGCTGATTGATTCCCCTGGTTTTACAGGAGTCAGAAAGCAGACACTGGAGAATTACTGCTCTTGAACTAGAAAGGTTTATTGAAAAGGTAGTTGGAGGAGGCATTTTCCTGCCTGGCTCTTCTGACTCAAGGTCCCGTTGGGCCTCTGCCCTTGTGGAGAGATGGTCATGCTGCCCAGTCCACTGACCGAGGACGGCCTTGGAGCAGAAGGTTCGGGGCAACTGACGGGGCGCCTCCACTGCACCTGCCTGCCCCTTCAGCAGAACTGATGTACTTTGTCCACAGGATGTGCCCACAGAAGGGGCATGTGGATGCCGGAGCCTCATCTCCTCAGTGAACTGAGGCCCCAAGGAAGGAGCCCCAGGGTTCCCCCTGGGTGTCTGCCGAAGTTAGTATGTGTAATGCTTACAGGAGACGAGATAGACCACATCTGCCCTGGAATGTAGAGTACTAAATATGGCTCCATCTATATAAATTAATTGTACAAACTATCGATCACAAAAAAAAATCCCAGCAACTGACATTGGTAAGCAATTTGGGATCCAAATCCGAAGCAGAAAAGAACACAACACCAGCATTGTGTGAAGTTTTAGATGGGACACAAGGAGATGCGACTCGCCCTTACTGCTGGGTTTTCAATTACAGCAGGAGCTGCACTGCCCTCAGCGCCAGGCTGGCTCCGCATGGCCAGAGGGGTGGTCCCTGGGACACAGTGCACCTCCCGTGAGTAACCATTGGGGTCCGGAAGTCGAGCAGCTCTGGAGAAGCGGTCACTGGGAGACAGTCAGTATTCCTGTGAGCTTTGGGTTCCCGGGCCCGTTCGGTGAAGATGAAAATGGTTGGCTAAAAGGAAAAGGTTTGCTTGGCTAGCACTTTTATCCCTTGGCAAGGGAGCACCTGGGCCAGGAAGAGGGACACAGTGATGGTCAGCGTTGAGCTGCACGCCCACAGCTGGGCCGAGGACAGAGCCTGCCTGCCAAACTGAGTGCTTCCCGGAGATTCTGCTTTTCCTTGGCAATCCCGACTCCTCTTTGGTCCTTAGTAACCGAGGCCTGGCTTGTTCCAACCCGTGTCCCTCTCTGGCCCTGCTTCTCCCCTGTCTGCATGCAGATTGCCCCCTGCGTGGGTCTCTCCAATTAACAGGCTCAGAAATTAACTGGACTTGCCCACAAAACCTGCTCTGCCTCTAACATAGCCTCCCAGACATCAGTGGCCAACAGGGACTCCTCTGTTGCTCAGACAGAACCCGCAATCCCCTTCGAGCCCTCCACCTCGCACCCACACCCAGCGGATGCCTGCTGACTCCACACAACATTCAGTACCCTCCCGCTGTCTTCCTGGGCCAAGGCGGCATTTATTTTTGGTCTGGACTCAGCTTACTGGTCTCCCTGCTCCCACTGCTGGCCCCCTGCATATAGTTGCCCCTTGGAATCCTGGGGTTTGGTTCTGGGATTGTCTACCCTACCCAGCCAGATACCCAAACCCGAGGATGCTGAAGTCCCTGATGTAAAATGGTGTGTTTGTGTTTGCCTGCAGCAGGGTACACGTGCACGCCAATGATGTGGACTCCACGTAGTGCTCAGCAAATTTAAATGTTGCTTTTTGGAACCTTCTGAGGTGTTGTTTCTGTTTTCCCCAGAATATTTTCCAGCTGAGGTTGGTTGAATCCAAGGATTCAGAGGGCCGGCTGTATTCATTTCCCTGCGTAGTAGCCAGTGATCCTCTAGAAATATCAAGTCTCTGTTTCAAACCTTCCCATCCCCACTCCTCAGCCCCAAATCTCAGAAAAACCCAGATGCTGGCCCTACAGCGCTGGCCTCCACCTCCTGTCCTTGTCTACCACTCCTCGTGCGGGGTGTCCTACCCCAGAGGGGTGAGGACGGGGCCTCCCTGCTTAACGCCCCACCTCATTCCCTGCGTCTCTCCTGCCGTGGTGTCTCCAAAGGACTTGTCACCACCTCGAGTGACCACCACCTCGAGTGCCCTATTTCCTGTCTGTTCTACAGGCATCTTGTGAGTTGCGTTCATCACTGTGTCCCTGCCACCAAAGGCAGGACTCGCCCCTGGCAGGTGTGGTAAGTGCTGGGTGGAGGAGTGAGCAGCGGGCTTCTCTGCACTTGAGCTCAAACTTCTGTGGCTGGCTCCTGACCAGCCCAGGCCCACCACCCACTGAGAGAAATGCACCTGTCCCTCTGACAGGGACTTCAGACAACCTTTGAGGGCCCTGGGGTGGATCCTGCCTCTCCAATGTCCCCTCCTCCGCTGATTCCAAGTGTGACGTTGGGTGGACGGCTTGGTGCTGGATGCCCGAGGGGCGGTAAGAGACGGTGAGTCTGAGCACTTGGCACCATGCTGGCTGGCAAAGAGGCTGCTCACCCCAGTTCAGCCACTGCTGTCATCGGCCCTCTCATCTCCCAGCCCTGGCCCCTGGCCCTGAGTCCAACCCTGGCCAAGCCCTGCTGGGCTCATGCTTTACGTGCAGTGTCTTATCTAAGACACAGGTCCTATTAGCTCCGTTTTGCAAATGAGGAAACAAGTCTGGGGAGGTTAAGTCACTCCCCCAAGTTTGCAGGGACCCACCCGGAGCCCACCTTTAACCAATGACTCACCAGCCTTCCCTATCTAACAGCCCCACAGAATGAGACCCTTGTGCTGGCCACGAATCTGTCACCCCACCAAGCCTGCCGTGGGATGTGGGGGCAGGGTGGGCAGGCACTGTTTCGGAGGCGCAGCGCCCTGCAGAGCCACCCCATCCCAGCACCCGTGGGTGCTGCCTCTTGGCTAGCATCGTGGCTCCTCCAGCCCGAGCCATCATCCCCCTTGGAAAGGGACCCCCTGGCCAGTGCGGCCACCACCCTGCACCAGGGCAGATGTACCTCCTCTCAGGTCTGCCCTAGGCTTCTGCGGCTGCCACATCCCCGTTCACATAATCGGGCTCTTCGTCATCCTTGTCCGGGCTTCCTGCAGGGCAGGGAGGGGCTCCTCTCGGGCCTTTCCCTGCGGACCAGCAGGCAACCGTCAGGTGGTTCACTCGGACGCGCCCAGACGTGCTCCCTGAGCCAGCCGCCCGCCCGGGGCAAAACCCCAGATGCCACAAAGCGGTCTGAAGGAAAGGCCGCTCTGGACGGCGTGTCTGTCCTGGTTCTGGGGTTTGCCAGATTTGTCCTTGGGGGGGTGGAACAAGTGGGACTCCATCTATACAGCCGGATGGGCTGCCCAGGACGAGGACCCCGCCTCCAGGGGCCAGGCTGCTCAGTGGTGTCCGGGCATGGTTCAAGGCCAGCGAAGACACTGATTTGCTGAAGGCTTCACTTGAAATTAGTTGAACTGGCTGCAGGGGACCCCACCCTGGTCTGGCCCTCCCGAGCTAGCCCCCACAACTCCCACCTCCCTTCCCCTCATCCTTCCAGGCTTTGCTGAAGTGGACGGTGCAGGAGTCCCTGCTCTCAGGCCACATACCCACGACCCTTCTGGACTCCTGCCACTGCTGGATGGAAGCCGAGTTCTGGTAATCCTCAGACTCCTCGTCACCTGCAGGGAGAGGGACCGGGAGAGGGACTGCAGGGGGGGCCTCCGCGGCTAGTCCTCAGGCCCGCAAGGTGCCGCAGCCCCTCAGAGAGGCACCCTACGCCCTCGTGGGCAGCCCCACGGGGGAGGAAGGGGTCCCCACAGCGCATGCCCACTGAGGCCCAGGACGATGGGGACCAGGCAGTGCCTGACCGAAGGCTACGGGTGTCGGGGAACTTTCAGGCTGCAAGGCAGGTGATGCTTTTGAGCCGTGAGGACCTCAGATCTCACCAGCCCCTGCTCAGCTCTGGGCCGGCAGCCTCACCTGAGTCGGGCTGCTTCTGCTTGCAGATGAGCACGTTCTCATAGGAATTAGCATCGTCGTCATCATCTGCTGGGAAGAGGGGGGAGGACTCTGGTTATGGTGACACCTGTCCATCAAGCCTGGCTCTGCCTCTCTCCCTTCACCCAGCACTCTCTTGGCAGATGACTGGTCCTGCCAAGCTCCCTGACTCTGGGTCCCCCAGGGGCCTCAAACATTTTCCTGGACAAGTTTCTAAATGGGCACTGGCCAGACTCAGCAGCTGCCACCCCAGGCTCCTTCTCTGTCCTCCAGGGTCACCCCCAAATGCACTGGGGAGGGGAGGTTAGGGGATAGGGCTGCATTCAGGCCCAGGATGGATGGTTGGATAGAGGGAGGTGCATTTCTATCAGGCAGTGGGGGGCCCCGAGAGCCCCTGGGGGCCCAGGAGACAGGAACCGGGTCTAAGCTTATCTGGAAGCAGAACCCTTTAGGCAGGGCTGGTGGGGCCGGGAGCCTTGGCCCAGGGTCTGGGTGGGTGTGGCAGACCAGAGCCTGGCACCCTGGCATCACCCCACCTCCAGGGAGAAAGCTGGGCTCTAACCGCCGCCCCTTCCAGGTCCATCTACATCAAAAATGCTCTGAGAAGTGCAGGCCCCGCCCCAGTTTAGAAGTGGCAGAGGGGAAGACGGGGACCCCACTCCCTGCCCACCACAGCGCCTCACCCCCCCCCTAGCAGAGCCCAGGCAGGGGCCCAGCCCGTGCATCTCCCAGCAGGTGCTCCCTGCTCTCAGTCTTCAGTTTCTCCTTCTATAAAGCAAAGGTGTTAAGAGCCTACGGTTCCAGCATCCTCAGAGCCTGCCGGGCTCAGCAGCCACCAGCAAGTCTGCCCCATCAGGGCTTTCCCCTGAGGTCCCCTATGTGCCCAGCCCTGGATGGGGCCTGGATGACAAGGGGCCCGGATGACAAGGGGCCCGGCTTTCCTCCCATCCCTGGAGCCCTCCGTTGCTCCCTCACCCCTGTGGCCCACCCTCCTCTGCACCTGGGCTCCTGCCCCTGGTGCCAACTCCCTCATCTTCCCTCCCCTCCCCAACCCATCCAAAGGCAGGCCCAGGCTCCTCCTTAGAGTCCTCCCAAATGCCTCTGGTCCCACAAGTGAGCTGAGCTCCCACGCTCCTCCTCCCTGTCCCCCTCTTCCCCTCTGCCTCACCTTCCTGGGGCTTCTGGAACTGCTCCCAGATGTAACAGTCCATGGGGGTGGGGTCTCTGGGAGAAAACACAAACACAATACCAGCTGTTGGGCAGGCCTGTGGTCAGGGCGGGGGCTTCCTGGGGGAGCAGTGAGGCAAGGGTTGCTCCAGCCATCACTGCCCCAGGGGCCCATGGGGGCTGGGCCGGGGTCTCCTCTGCTCCCTTCATCCCCTTTCCCCGGCCCCCCGAACCTCCCTGAGGCTGAGAGGGTGGCAGCCTGGCACTTGCCACCTTGCCATGTGACACTAGGCAAGTCTCCACCTCCTTGGGCCTCAGTCTGCCCATTGGTGAGATGAGATGTCTGAGGGCCCTTCCTCTCTGGGGCTCCAGGTGCCCCTGTCACTTGCCTCTGACAGGGTGACAAAGGATGAGTCCCCCCTACACAGCCCATCCCCAGAGCAGGGCCATGTTCCTGTCACCATCCCCATTCCCACAAGACCACCTGAAGGGAGACAGTGCTGCAGAGAGCCTGCCTGGGCCTGGGCTGGCAGCCGGACCTTCCACCAAAAATAAGGACGCTCAGGGACAGGGTGGGTGGGTGTGGGAGGAGGGGCCGGGAGAAGGCCACTCACATGTAGACTGCATTGGATCCAAGTCTGCTTCCTGCAGGAGCAGCAGAATTAGGCCTAAGCTCCAAGAGGTGGCCCCCATTGCAGCCCCCACAACTCTGGAGCCCGCCTACCTTTTCTGAAGTTCTGATACCTTGGGGACGCAGAACCTGGAAGAAGGGCCAAGGGCTTCCTACCTTTGCACCTCTTCTCTGTCCCCTCCCCCACTAGGCCAAGCCCGTCAGGACTCCCAGCCTGGCTGTGTGTCTCCTCTGCAAAGGCCTCTGTCTCAGTTCCCGCTCCACCCTGCCCCGCCCCCGTGCCAGGCTCACTCACCCTCGAGGCTGGGGGAGAACTGCAGCAGCTTATCCTTCCTGCAGCAGAAAGGAGGCAGGGGCTGAGGAGGGGCCGAGGGGCAAGGAATGGCCCTAGGGTTTGGGGGATTGGAAGGCCACAGCTCTCCAGCCTCGTGGTGGGGCTCTGGAATCCAGCCATGCAACTCTGAGGTCTGAGGGGGGAGTAAGGTCCTGGCCTGGGCTCAGCCAGGTAGGGACCCTGGTCCTCCTCACTGCCCCCCCCCGGGGGGTTGCCACCCCTCTGGGCCCAGGACAAGTGGCTCCTTCCTACCGTGCTGCTGCCATGTTAGAGGCTCTGTCCACCATGGGCCTGGCCACTGCAAAGGACAAAGGGGTGTTGGCCGGACCCCAGGCCAGCTTGCCAGTGTAGCCCCTCACCCCACCAGACCAGGCCACAACCTCAGGGTGATAAAGACAGAAGGGACTTTGATAGGACCCCCCAACCCCTCACCCCATCCCTGGAACCCTTCCATCTAGGGACTCACAGGAATAGGTCCAGGCCCCCGAGAAGTTCTGTTGGTCCTCTGGCCTGGAAATGCATGGGGCTGTGATGAGCTAGGGCCTTGGCTCCCACAGCCCAAGGGACAGAGACAGGAGAGATGGATAGACGGGGACAATGGACAGAGAGGAGGGACACACCAGGGCAAGAGTGAGAAGGAGCTGCTACCCATCCAGGTCTCAGGGCTAGAGCCCTGTCCCCTGGTGCTCACCCTTGTCACATGGCCTTGGGCTGCAGCCAGCTGCCAGCGAGGCCCATCTCTCACCTGGGCTTACCCAAGAACCCTGGGGTATCTGGTCAGCGGGTCTGTGGGTGGGGCCCGGGAGGCAGCCCTGAGACTCTTGCGGCAACTGCTCAGGGACCTAGTGGGGACTTCGAGCAGGAGCAACAGGGAAGCTGCCCCCGCCCCTCCCACTCCAGGAGTGTTGACCCTAAGAGAGCACATGCCTCAAACACACTGCGTACTCCCGAGTGACTGGTAGGACTACTTTCGGGTTAGCAGACACAGCCAGGTATCTAGCCATTGCCCAGGGGCCCCTCCTGCCTTTGAAACACAACCCTGACTTTTGTTTAGCCAGCAGCATGCCCCTCTAAGAGACTGTTTCCCAGCTTCCCTTGCACCTAAGTGTGGCCAAGTGATTAAGCTCTGCTGTTTGAGATGCAAGCCAATGTTGCTGAGAGTTCCAGGAAAGCTCCTGAAAGAAGTTAGTTACTGGCAACTGGGGTACAGCCTTTTTGTCCTCGGCCTTCATTCTTACTACCACCTAAAATGCAGAGATGAGGGCCAGAGCCCTAGCTGCCATTTGGACCATGAAGTGCCCTTGAGAATGGAAGTGACAAGTAAGGATAGTAGAGCAGATTAGCTAATCATAAGAGCATTTGGGGTTCCTCCCCTGGACTAATATGGGTATCTGGCCCAGCCTTCCAGAAGCTCCTGGGGTGTGGGGGTCAGGGTGATTTGATTTAGGAAGGGTGGCCTAAATCCACAGGAGTCGGGCACGGCTTCCCAGAGGAAGTGGTGCAGGAGCTGGGCCTGGCCCCATTTTCGTGCTCCCTACATAAGGGGGTTTGGTCTACAGTTCTAAGGTCAATCTGGGGCCTGAGCGGGCAGGAACTGAGGGAGGAGGGCAGAGGGGAGATACTACCCATCTGTGCCTTGGGGCAGGAGAGTGGAGGGGCAGCAGCAGAGTCCAGCCCACCTCGGTGGAGGTGGCGGGCTGACAATCTAGATGGCCAGTAGCCAAAGATGCCTAGAAAGATCCAGTCCTGGCCCCAGGCATGGGCCCGGATGGGAAAATTCTATTTTCAAATCTCATTGTGGTTTTTCGGTTGCAAAAGGAAATGAGAAAAGGGTGTGTGTACGTGTTTGTATGTGAGTAGCAGCCGGGTGTGCATGCAGTGGTGTGTGTGTGTGAGAAGTCCACGCATGAGCAAGTGTGCAGGAAGCATGTGGGCGAGAGTAGGCGTGTAGGCCTGTGTACATGTGGGCACGCAGGCCCCAGTGGTCCCCCAGGACTCCCATCGGCCATGTTCCTATTCCAAGTAAGGACGCTGCCCCCGCGCCTGGGGCTGTTCTTGGGTCGCCCCCTGGTCCGCAGTGTTCAGCACGGCCAACCCTCCCGGGGCTCATGGAGTGGAAAACTGGCCTTCAATGTACCTAGAGCTCCATCACTGGGGTCCTGCCACACTGCAGAAAATGGTCACTAACCCAGTTTCATCTCTACCCCACTCCCCCCTTTCCTGCTGCACAGAAGCCCCTGCTTTGAGCTCTTTTGTTGCCACCTTGACACAAAGGCCAAGGCCTCTCCCCACCATCAAGGGCTCACCCAGCTCCTTGCTCCCAGGCCCACAGAACCTGCCACCTCATCCCCGGAAGACAGTGTCCAGCATGGTCCTGTGTCAGTGACCGCCCACACTGTTGTCTCCCTGGAATGTTCCCTTTTGCCTCGTTCTCTCTTAAATTCTTCCCCACTTTCTCTATGCCTGGGGCCATCCTTAGTCACCCAGCAGCAGGCCCACACCCTCCCCTGAGCTTCTTTTGCACTTTTGGGCAGGGGGGGGTGGCGGGGGGAGACACAGACACAGCTCACACTTCGTCCAGTCTCTGACCCACGCTCAACCCTGCATTGCCCCAGAGGCGGGATTCCTCTGTCCCTGCCCCGCCCCACCCTGACCACCAGCAAGGGGGGCTGCTCAGGGCAGGGTTCACAGGGAGCATCTCTGGAGATGTTCTTGGGCCAGCGGAAGGGTGGCATCCCCTCCTCCTGAAGCCCTTGCAGACCAGGCTAGGCCAGGGCCTGGACAGCCCCTGGGTGGCCCCCTCTCCCTCCCTGGACTGCTCAGGACCCAGCAGAGCTCAGCATGGAGGACTTGTGGGTCAAAGGGGTGAGGGACAGCATGCAGGGATGCCTGAGGGGACACCCCACGCAAGGCACATGAAGTCACCAGGCTAGGGACACTGAAGCACTCACAGATTCCTTTGCTCACAGATTTTCTCGGACCGCTTCACACCTGCAAGAACGGGATCAGATTTGCAAGTGTCCAGAGCCAGAGTGGGACCGAGATCCATGGCCCCCCTCCCCTGTCGCCCCTGTGCCCTGTGCAGGCCTAGGACAGGACGCGGGGGCCTGCCAATTTCTGCGGGCCCCTGGCACTGACAGGGTGTTTCTCCGGTTTACTTAGAAAAGCAGAATGTAGAAAAGGTGGCTGCCCAGGCCGCCCAGCCTCCCCACCTCGTCCAGGGCAACACCCGCACCCCAGACACACCCTCCTCGATCCGGCAAAACCAAAGCCGCACAGTGAGGCAGATCCACTGTGTTCAGGCACAGTTTGGGGTGGGTCTGCAGGGGAATCATTCTGCCCTGTGAGGCTCATCCGACTTCCCCTCCCAACCACAGTCAGGTCTGGGCCTGGGAGGGTTTCTGGGCACACCATCTTCGCCTCCATTGTGCCTGTGATCCTCCTCCCCCATCGTAACTTCGCCTTTACCTGAGCGGGAGCAGCGCACACACAGGCTGGCAGCCACTGCCCCCAGCAGCAGCAGGAGGGCCGCCCCAGGCCACAGCAGCTCAGTCTCTGCATTCATGCCCGCTCCTGGCCACTTTCCCTGCAACCGGAGGCCCCCATGAGTCAGGTGGGAGGGTAGCGGGGCTGCCCCTCCAGGAACCCACCCAGCCCCACACTTTCAGGGCTCTTACCTCTGAAGTTCCCTGACAGCCCCCCAGATGAGCTCTGGCTGTGGAAGCGCCCTCCTGCCCTGCTGGAGGACTGGGTTAGGACCAGACCCATTCCTCCACCTGCCCCCAGGCGTGTGCCCTTGGCCTCCTGGGCCAGCACTCTGATAAGTGCTAGAAGGTTCTGGGGCCCACCAGACAGCACCAAATGCGTGTGTGCATCCCTGCAGATGCCCTCACTCAACCCACACAACTGCCCTTGGAAGGGCAGGCTGCTCCTTTTCACAGATAACGACACAGGCCAGAGATCTCGGAAATGCTGAGTAGAAAGACAGGGTTTCAGTTCCAGCCCCCAGACTCCAGCTCTGGCTTTGCTCACGGCATCCCCTCCTTCCTATAAACCCGACTTTACTCCCCAGACTCCGAGCTGGTGGACCCTGCTGGATGGGAGCTCCCAGCAGCCCTCACCCAACGCTTCGCCACCCCATCCATGGCCTCCTGGGGAAGCTGGGAGTGAGATTCCATTCATTAAACACCAGTGCACCCAGATTCCTCCTGTCATGGGAGCTGGGAGGCAGGAGATCAAGAAAGGCTTCTTGGAGGAGGTGGGCTTGAGAGCTTGGAAGAAATGTGCTCAGGGCAGAGGGACTTGCTGCCCAGGGCAGCTGTGGGGCTGGAGGAGAGAGGCTGCAGGGCGAGGAAGCCCTGAATCTCTCACTGCCAACCGTCTTAGTGGCTGCTCCAGGCCACGGCCTTGGGCCACTGTGATTGTCAGGCCTTGATCTCAATCCCACATCAGGGTCTGGTTAAGTCACTGAAATACAGAGACTCAGCTCCTCAAAATAGATGGGACCCAGCTGAGGGTAGCAGGGGGTCTCTGAGAGGACCACGCCCAATGGGACACATGAGCCCCCGCCACTGAGCACCCACTCTGTGCACACCTGTGCCCCCTGCATCAGACACCTGGGAGGAGGGCTGCTCCCCACTTTACAGCCGTGGAGGGTGAGGCTTGCAGAGAAGGTGAACTTTGCGCTGCACTGCCCACCTCCTGCTTCAGACTCCCCTGAGGCCTGTGTGCACCTGGCTGTCCCCTCACCGCTTTGAGCTTCCCGAATCTCTGCGGCTAAGATGACAAGGGGCCTCTATGAAGCACGGAGAGCTGGTCAGGGGCCTGTCACAGAGAGGCCACCTCTCCTTCCCCAAAACTCCAAGTGAGTCAGTGGGAACACGAGAATTCCCGAATCTCGTGAGGGGGCAGCCTCTGCATGAGGAGAAAGACCGACCCCCTCCTCTCAGGGGCGGGCTCGCTCCTCGCTCTGCCTCCCGTGGCTGCCCCAGGGCAGACTCCCTCCCCAGCCCCAGGCAGGGCCCTCCTCCGTCTCCTCCATCTCGGGCTGTTTGATGCGGGGAACACCTGCCGCAGAGGGAGGGCTCCAGGGTCAAATCCTGCCTGTGCCATAGCACCTCATCTCTTGGCCTCAGTTTTCTCATCTGTGACACGGGGGTCAGTCATGCCCAGGCAGGCAGGCCCGTGGCTGGGGCTTTCTGAAGAGAAACCTTATTTCCAGCTGGCTGGTTGGGACAGCTCCCTCAGGCTCCTTGACCCTTGACAACTTTGCCCTTTGGTTAAGACAGTGACTCTGTCCCCAAAGGAGATTTGGGCACAAACACCTGGGGTGGGACATGAGTCCACCACCAGCCATCCCCAGGGGCTGCTTAAGACCCCAGAAGCAAGTTCACACTGTCCACCTGGTACTCAGAGCCCTGAGCCCCCACCCCAGGGGACCCTGACCAGGGAGAGCCCTGTTGCTTCCTGAACAGCACACTCAGGGGTGGCCCCGGCATGGGGGCAGGTGTGGGAGAGGGGCACGAGAGTGCAAATTCTGCCTGGGAAAGACAGTTGAATCCTAGGGTTATGGGCCTTTGGTCACCCCTTTTGTCGAATAGGGGAAACAATGACGCTTTTCCCGTGGGTTTGTCACATGGGGCCTAGTGTTAAGATGACGTACCTGAGGTTCCAGTGCAGGGTGGGGCATGGTCGGCCGTGACCACCGTGACTGGCCACTATCACGGTTCCAGTGGAAGGGGCAGGGGAAGCTGCAGCCTGCTGTGGGGCACAGAGCTAGCTGGGCGGCCTGCAGCGAGCAGTGTGGCGTGACTCTGGGGGCTTCCCGCCTGGTTTCCAGACGGGCAGGCTGAACTTCCCTCCACTGCCTCGCATGGGCTTTGAGCTGGGACCCTGAGTGGGGCTGGGACGGGAGGAGAGCGTGGCCTTGCCCCCGCCCCTCAGTCAGTTGTCACAGACACCCGCAGCCTGCGTGGGAACAGTAGGCCCACAGAGGGGGGGGACCCTGTCCAAGACCACACAGAGAGCTAGTCTCGGAGCCGAGATCAAAACCCAGGGCAGGCTGTTTCCAAAGGCCACACGCCTTCACGTTTTTCTTATGTTTTCAATAATAATAAAATATATTTTTTAAAAGGCTAATTTGAGGAAAACTCCCGTGCCCTCCCTGCCACAGTGAATAAATCCGCCCTCTCTTGTTGCCTTCCATCCATGTTCTGAGAGCAGGTGGGGTGGGTGAGGGAGGAGGGCGAGGGGGCCGGGCCCCAGGAGAGGCAGACCCAACGGCTCCAGGAGGCCCCGAGAAGCCAGGCAGGGCTGGGTGGGGTAGGGAGGGAGGCTGCCACAGCCCATGCCTCCGCAGGCCAAAATAGCACAAGGGGAAGTGGGCAGTTTTCATATGAACAAGGTTGCAACAAGCCGGCTGTGGGAAGGCCCCCAGGGCTGGGCGGCTTGGGCCTTGGCATCGGAACCTCCGGCCCGGAAAGGCCCTTGGAGGTGGTACTGCCCCCTCTCCCAGCACTCATCGTGCTGTAGATGGGGAAACTGAGGCCCACTAAGGCTGCGGGACAGGCTGGGGTGGGGGTGGAGTGAAAGTTACCAGTCTGAGCCCTGGGAAGGATTTAGTCACCGGGCTGTGCTCTGGGGTCTGTTTCGTTTTCCCAAATAACCTTGGCCTTCAGATAAGACCAGGCAAGATGCTCCTACTAGAGGCTCTCAATGCTTAGTGACTCCGCAGGGCCTGGGCAGCCCCAGTCCCAGGGCAGAGGCCGGGGCCACCTGTTGACAGAGCTGGGCACGGGGAGCCCCCAAGGGGCCTTTAGCCTCTCGGGACCACAGCAGAGAGCTGGCAGGTCAGGCTGGGGACTGGGTGGGGGCGACGGGACAGACGCTTCCATCTGGCCCGGGGCAGGACCTGGGCATGTTTGCCGGTAGAGTCTCGCCCACTCTCCCACAGCCCATGTCTGGGATGTTACTGTTCCATTTTACAGATGAAGAAACCTCAACTCGGGCATGGGCTGGGGTGGCCCATGGCCCGAGTCGAGGGCTGTCCTGGCCCCTCACCTGTCTGTCTCAGGAAGTGATGGGATCGCCCTGGGGCTTCCTAGGACTGCCGGCCGGGCTGGGGATGGTGCGGGCAGAAAGGTGGCTGAAGCCCCAGACACAGGCTGCCCCTCTGAGCACCGCAGGGTCCAGGGTGAAGGCTCCCTCCTCAGGGGTGCCAGGGCAGGACTGGGGCCAAAGAAGGGGGTGCTGGGTGTCCTGACGTCTTCCCCCTCTAACCAGTGGGCCAGCCGAGTACTCCTGCTGGGCCAGTGAGAACACCCCAACCTCCACGGGGTGTCGGAGGCCTGGGGCAGACCCAGGATCCCTGCCCTCAGGGCCAGGCTCCTAGGAAAGGCTTACCTGAGAGTTGAAAGCTCTTCACTGCAGCCACCTCATCTTGAGCCCACACACCTGCCGGAGCCGACACCAACGCCACTGACACTTGCGGGCAGCAGGCAAGGCGGGCGGGCTTCCTGTCAGCCACTGAATCATCCCTCACACATCCGCTGCCCTGCCGGACAGGCTCCGCTGTGAACGAGACAGATACACACGCATGCGCGCACACACACGAGAGACAGAGGGATCGAGAGGGAGAGAACGAGACAAACAGAGGCAGAGAACAGAAAGGCATGGACGCACACACTGAACACACACACACACAGGTCACATGGAGGGTGAGACACACACAGAGCAGGAAGAAAGAATGCAGTGGGAACTTTCACTGGGACACACACAGGCAACAAGAGAGCAGGAGGACAGAGAAGCACACACTAGGGAACACACAAATACACACCAACACTGAAACACACACACACACACACACAGAAACCCAGAGACAGGGAACCAGAGAGCGAGACAGAGAAGAGGAACAGGCAGTGTGAGAATGAGAAAGGGAAGCACGCAGCATACACAGACACACAGAGGGACAGAAAGACAGTCAGAGACACAGGGAGACAGAGAGAGACGCACAGGCGGTCAGGGACATGGAGCCAGAGAGCCAGAGCCAGGTACTCGGACAGCGAGAGTCCCGAGAATGAGGCAGGCAGTGCACACACGCACGGAACATGGGACCTGGGTGGATGGAGAAGGCAGAACTGACGGCTGGAGACGAGGACTGCTGACAGGAACAGCCAGCCACAGGCATTAGGGGGAGCAAGACAGGCAGCCATGCTGCGGGACAGAAGGAAGGACAATCGTGACCCCTCTAGTCCTGGGAGCCACGTCTCTTCACCCCCATTTTCCAGATGGGGCTTATGGAGGCACAGAGCAGGGTGAGGGCACTGCCCTGCTCCAACGGCCGCCGTCCCCGCACCAGCCCTTTGCTCAGCTGTGGGAGGCTGATGAGAGGCTTGGAGGGGACCTGCTCACTGGGAGATTGGTAACCGCCACTGCGCTCCAGGGTTCATGCTGCTGGTCGCTAGTAACTTGTCCAACGCCATGGAACTGTCAGTGGCATCCACTTGCTGGAGATCCCAGGGAAGCCCGTGAGGGTCACCTGACACCCCCTCAATCTCACACTTTCAGAGCCCGGTCTCCCCAGCTCTAGGCCTGGGACAGGATGTCTCTGTGGCCCCAGGGTGGGTTCAGGGGGATGGCCAAAAACTGCAGCCAAGGCCCAGACAGGGATGGCGAGGGGCCAAGTGCAGACTGCAGACTCGCAACTGAAACAGGAACCAAGGGTGGGTTGGGCCTGCTGCTGACACCACGTGGAGGAGAAGAGCAGTGCAGGGACCAGAGCTTGTTCCGGGAGATCCCATGGACCCGGTATGGGGTGGGACTAGAACCAAAACTAACCTCCTCTGACTCCCAGGCCTGCAATAGTGCAATCACACCAGCATACTCCCTTACGTCATGGGGTCGAGGCCACGTTTATGTTAGTTTCTTACACAGGCAAGAACACCATGGCTCACAGATGCTAACTCAATTTGAACCCAGGCTTCCAAAGCATCCAAAGCCCATTGTCTTTCCACCACCTGAGTGCAGGATGTCACTGGGTAAAAGCCTGGGTGAAAGCCAACAGCCCTCCTCACTGGGCTGCCTGGCCCCTCCCCACATGACTGGGACGCCTGAGTGGTCTCCACCAATCCCTGGACCGCGTGCCTCACAGGGGTTTCCTGCCTGCAGAGGGTCAGGAACGCGGATGCACGTGAGGGAGCAGACTTCTGTTCTACATTCCTGGTCTGTCCAGGACTTAGCAATGGCTGGAGAAGTAACCTCGGGCCACTGGCAGTCTCCGGGCCCAACCACAGTGTGACCAGGGGCCCTCTCGTACCCTCTCTGAGCCCCCTTTCCACCTACAAAAATGGGCCTGTCAGCCCAAAGACCCCTTTTTGGACCTGAGTGGACCTTGCCCCCTTATAGGCACTTCTCAAATCCCTCCAAGTTCTATTTTATTTATAAACCATTCACTTGTGGCCTTGGCTGGTGTGGCTCAGTGGATTGAGTGCCAGTCTGCAAGCCGAAGGGTTGCTGGTTTGATTCCCAGTCAGGGAACACGCCTGGGTTGTGGGCCAGGCCCCCGGTACAGGGTGTGCGAGAGGCAACTGCACACTGATGCTTCTCTCCCTTTTTCTCCCTCCCTTCCTTTCTAAAAATAAACATAAACAAAATCTTTTAAAAAACATTTAGTTGTGAATTAGAAAATAAGCTTTAAAAAACTAGACAGTTTATGTCCTGTTGTATAAATTCGAGTGCACTTAGTTTATTTTTGTTTTCACAGTTCAATGAGCTTGGGTATATTACATTATATATAACAATAAAATTTACCATTTTAACCACTTTGAGTATGCAGTTCAGTAGCATTAATTATACTCACAATGTTGTACAACCATAACTAGTTTCAAAACTTTATCACTCCAAACAGGGTTATTTGGCTTTTTAAGAAACCTACTTTTAGAGAGTGGGGAAGAGGAGAAAGAGGGAGAAATACTATGTGGTTGCCTCTCACACACCCCTCACTGCAGACCTGGTCCACAACCCAGGCGTGTGCCCAGACTGGGAACTGAACTGATAACCCTTTGGTTCGCAGGCTGGCACTCAACCCACTGAGACACACCGGCCAGGGCCTATTTAGCTTTTTAGTTCACAGCCGATTAAGTTGTGTGCATACTTGTTACAGCAGCAAAATGCCTAGGTAGTAATGCAACAGCTCTAAGAACTCAAAACAGTTCCAAGGATGAGAATCTCCTGGGGCCACATATCCTTCAAAGGCCAATAGGAAGCTATGGATTTTCTTCAGGAAAAATGCATCTTGTGAAGTACATACGAATCTAGAAGCCCCGGGAACCCACTGTGAAGTCGTCTGCCTGCCACCCCAAGTCTCAAGGTGCAAATGGGCATTCCTCCCACCTGTCACGCCCAGCCATGTACTTTCTCTGCTCATTAACTTGCCACTCAGTGGAATCTAGAACATTCCATTGCTCTGCCTCACCCTACCTGCTTTTTAAAAGATTTTGTTTTTAATGTAATTTTTTAAAAGTATCATGTTGTCTGTAAGCATTTGGGACTTTGTATTACCATCACTGTGACCCATCCACACTATTGTGAGTGGCAGAAGTTCATTCCTTTAGTCTTCTGTACAACATCCCATCATCTGAACACAGGTTTTTGGATATACAGCTGGGAAGGGAACCACTAGGCATGGAGTACGGGGATGTTCAGTTTTCAAGATCATTCCGAAAGTGGCTATACTCACTGACACTTTCATCTGTGAGGTGCTGAGTCCCACAAACTCACCAGTACGGGTCTTTCAGGGATCCTGACCTGCTGTCTGAATGGGTGTGAAAGAGTGTTTTATTTTTTAGTATTGATGTACAATTCCTTGATTGCTAATGAGACCGAACATCATTTTTCTGCCGTATTTCCTATTCTGTGAAATACCTTTTAATGAATTTTGCTTAGTTGTTTTACCAGCTTGCAGAACTCTTCATATATCCTTTTTTTTTAAGTTTATAACGCATCTTTTCCCTTTTTGTTTTGATAAAGTACTTTAACTGAAACTCTGGGCTACCTACAAAGCTGCTCTGGTCCCCCTCCCTCCCAATCCTGTTTAGAAAGATCAAGCCTGTAGGTCAGTAACAATTTTAACATCGTACCTGGTCTCCCACGGTGAACAGAGACCAGGTATGGAGAACAGGTTCTGTCTGCTGCCCCAACTGAATACTGAAGAGCCTGCTGCTGTGAAAGTCTGCTTTTTCATTTGTATATTTAATATTTTACAGTTAGAGGGTGGTTACAGGTGGAAGAAGAGATTAGGAAGTTATAATTAAATATGTAGTCTTCATATTTTGACTCTTTTTCATGACCAAAAAAATCACCAAAGTTAGATTTTAAGATACTGGATATGTATATATGCCTGTTAACCTCACACAAACACAAAAGTAACTTGAACGTCTCAACGTTGTAAAACATTGGCCAAGAAAACACAGAAGATGCAGTGAAGCTCCTCACGGAAAAAAGGCCCTCACGGCCAGGTGCAGGTCAGCCACTCCTCTAAATGCGAGGAGCCCAGCTGAGCGAGTGGCCTGCCCTCCCTGTCAGGGCAGCCCGGGTGACAGCCGCCCTCCATACACTCCATGGCCAGCTGTCTTGTCCTGAAGATCTCTTAGAAAATCTGAGGTGTGACACTCCGTCCTTCTCCCCTCCCGACGTCCTGTAAGTGCACAGGTGAGAAGTCCCACTGGACAGACAGCAAGAAGTGGCCGAGCAGAACACGGTCCGCCTACCCCCTTCTCCAGCGGATCAAGGAGCCCCGTGGACAACCCTGGGCCCTGTCAGGTCCCGCTGCAGTGGACATTCCAGAGTGACCCTTATTACAGAGGCACTGACCCTGTATGACCTCAACAGCCATTTGGAATTGGAGAAGGGGACAGAGGGGAAAGAACAAAATATATGTAAAGTACAACTTGGGAAAAGAGCAGATCCCAGGGCTGTTGTTTAAAAACCAAACAGGCACCGGAATCTCTGGAGGCTGTAGAGCACACTGCAAAGAAATGCTATTTCTAGTGATTCTCAAAGCTTGAGTGGCTTTACATTGAAGTTAATTAGCTCTTCTTGTTCTAGACTTAATCTCTACCAAGTAATCTTCAATGAAACACCAGGCTGTTCCTAGAATTGCACGTGGAAGTCCAACGCCCCCCTCCCTCCTTTACTCGATGCCCACCTCCCGAATTCTTCCCTTTAAGACTAACCTGAAGGAACAGTACCTGTCCTGACAGGAATCCCGGGCTTCTGTCTGCAGTAGAAACAACTCCTTCTGTAGGGCCTAGAGAAGCAATCTGGCCTCTGGCAAAATGGACTGGAGGTAAGAACATTCTTAGAAACCTGAGCCCCTTATTAATAACAAAGGGGCCTCCTTTTGTGACTTCATTAAATTTTCTCTGAAGCCAGCTCAAAAGTAGAGAGAAATCAAGCATAAACTCAAACTCGTCTGTGGACCATTCACAAAGTAGGTGCAAATGTTTATGAAAATGACACTTTATTTAGGTGCTTCTTTGGGGAAAGATGCACCCTCCTCTCTTAATTCAGCTACTTATGGACGGGAGGCAGATACAAAACACTTTCTGTAACTGTTCAGTATTACACCCCAAGGGGGTAGGTGCTTGTGAGATGCCAACACTGTGAAGTCTGGCAGCCCGGGAGGGGAGGCAGAAAGACAGCTCCACGGGAGTTTCATTTCCATCACAATTCCCTCTGAATTCCTGGCAAACCTGGCTGACTGGTGTAAGGGTCCGAACATTCTACAGGCCCTTCATTAAGATGGAATCTAAAAGGACCTTCAGAAAGAAGCCTCACAGAGTTGGATTTCAAGACTCTGGACATAGGAAATCTCTCCCGGAGACCAAGTCCCAACTTGATTTAGGGCAGAGGATTTTTGGTCGCAGGGAGTCTCCCCCTTAAAGAAAATACCAGCAGGTATCAAGTCCTCTGCTCCATGCCCTTGGCTGGGGAGTTGAAGAGTCACTCATGCGTTCCGTCTTCAAGCTTGTTTCTCTAGACCAAGCAGCAGTCAAGGCTCCCCACTCGAGGAAGGGAATTCTGCATGGTGCCAAGCCCTCCACCTCTCCTGTGCTGGCCAGGCCAGTCCCAAAAGGCTGGAAGCTCTGCACCTGGCCCAAGGTCATAATAAAACCAACGAACTACACAGCAGTGCCTCTGCAAACAAGACCTACTTGTCACAGAGTAGCACCCAGCACTGTCATGAAGAGTACCTAGAATTTCTTCTAAAAACAAGCAGTGAAAAAAAGCAGGTACATGACACACAAGTATTTGATTTCTTCTATATTGGGGGAAAAAGTCCCTTTGTCCAACCAAAAACTACAGCCACACCATTATATAAGGTTTCTATGTGCTAGGAAAATT